GACTACGACGGCTGCTGTCGCCTCAGCGACGGCCATTTCCATGATTGCGAACGTTGCTCTCGCCTCAACGCTGGCCACATCCACGATTGCGAGTGTTGCTGTCACCTTGGCGCTGGCAACATCTACGATTGCGAATGTTGCTTTCGCCTCAGCGCCGGCCACACCCACGATTTCGAAAATTACTCTCGCATCAGCGGCGGCTACATCCACGAATGCACATGTTGCTGTCGCTTCAACGCTGGCCACACCCGCGATTACAAAAATTACTCTCGCCTTAGCGCTGGCCACATCCACGATTGCGAAAGTTGCTCTACTCTTAGTGCCGGCCACATCCATGATTGACAATGTTGCTCTCGCCACATCGCCGGCCACATCCATGATTGCGAAAGTTGCTCTCGTTTCAGCGCCGGCCAGATTCATGCATGGAAGCGTATAGGGATTAGTGATACAGTTGGCACTTTTGCACTGCATGTTACTGTATCACCCCGTTCTGGTGCATCAGTTGCTACAGCGCGCGCGTGACACACTGGTGTTGCCCAGCCGTTGGCCACGTTAACTTTAATCGGTCAGGTTAGCTTTGGCGCAGTGTCGACAGGGCCTGGGTCAGGTTAGGGTAGGGATTGGCTACGTTAGGGGGGGGTAGTAAGAAGAGTAGGCGCCCGCCAGGTCCTCGAGGTGACATTGGTATCCAAGTACCCCCGGTAGAACAGAAAAATCAAATCCCAATGTTTTTTATAGGTAGTGCCACCTCGGAAGGCAAGTAACAGCAAAAACAAAAAGAGCCCAGATTAACGCAGTGTCGACGACAGTCTCGATGCTGTGGCTAGCAACGTGCCGCTGTTGGAGATGTAGCCCAATACCCTCCCACCATAATGTAACCCTCCAATCCCCTACCCGAGGTTAGAGTGAGGCTGGGTGTGCACTGTGAGGCTTGCCAATGTTGGGCAACAAAGTATGGTAGCTCTGCGGGTTACCTGGCATAGCCTGTGGATACAGGCTCGCCAGTAACAAAGTGAGGCTGGCTGGTGCTCGCTGTCCTCCACCCCAACCCCAGATCCTCCCCCAGATCCGCCCCACCGCCAACCGTTGGTATAGGGCGCAAAGGATGTGGGGACAGAACGGTTAAAAGCGCGATGCCTGCAGCCTCTTGCAAGAAGCAGCTAGTAGCAAGAGGACATGGAACAGATGAAGTACAAGCTGCTTCTGTTTGCTCAGTTAAACGTCTGGGACAGAGAGAACGAGTCTGTGCGCGCTGAGTGGCCTGTGCAAGGAGAGACAGGTGGTAACATCATGTTAAAAAAGTGGCGTCTGTAGACTGCCAGAGGTACTCGCACACAGATGCGAAGGGGGGGGGGTGCGACGATCCTCTACTATATCACCCTGTGATGCAAGGCTGGCCTACGCAGGCTGGCCTGTGAAGGATCAAATGGCCTGTGCTGCTGGCCGTGATCGCAGTTCCGCCTGATACTATCGTACCGAATGCAATGGCATTGTTAGCAAACTACAATGTCCAATGCTCGTGCTGAGGCTGGCCTATGCAGGCTGGCTGAGTACTGAGAGTGGTACTTCAGGCGATCAGTGGGCGAGGCAGTCTGCAATTATGAGCCTCGTGTTCGAAGCAGCTTGTGACAAGATGAAATGTAAACCGAGGACAATACAAGCTGGTTCCGGCGAGTGCGTTCTGTACAACTAGTCTGTCTGCGTGGGCAGATTGCTCACATAAACGTCTAGGACAGAACGAACACATAGTATGTGCACGCTGAGTGGCCCAGGCATGCATAACAACGAGTGATGTGCCTTGGAAGACAGTGAGGCTGACACAGTCAAATGACAAGCCCCTTTTGTCAGCAGTAGGCCCGCTCTTTTTGCCAGCAGTAGGCCCGCTCTTCGGTTCCTAGGCGGAGGGGGGGGCACCGTCACCGTACACAATGCCAGGAGTAGGGGTACGCAGCGAGGCAGGGGTAGAACAAGGTAACACCAAAGTAGGTGCTGCTGCGCTGCAAGTGAAAATGGTGTACCTCCCTGTTGGGGTCCCAAGTGCCCGCTGGGCGTGTTGCATGGGGGATTACCTGTTTCAGGTGTCCCCAGAGTGCCTGTCATCGGCTGTAGAGGAGGGGTGGCCAAAAGGAGGTTTGCGCAGCAACAGTGGTGAGAGCGACAGGGGGAAACTCGCTGTGCAAGAAATCTGTGCTCGGCTGGCCTGTAGCAGGGGCTGGCCGAATACTCTAGCGAGAGCGTACTATTGTTAGCACCCGTGCGTAATATAACTTGAAGCCAGTGGAGGGAGCGCCGTGGGCGTCCCTCAAAGTCGGCCTCTCGTGTCTTGCGGTAAAGAGTTGGGAATACGACAGACCACGAGTCTGCGAAGAGGTCTGGGCGGTAGTGCGCTTAGCCTGCAAACGTATCTTGACTGTGGGTGTACTCACAGCGATGCGGTCATGTTTTTTCGATGACCCCGATCCTTCCGAAAATAAATGTGGAATCCTGGGGATGCGACCAAGGGTTCTGTAGGATAGCCACGAACCTGAAAGTGAGAAAGTGCCACCATCGTGTCGGACGAGCCGCGTTGGAACGTGGAGGGTGCACAGCTGAACAGTGATGTAGGAAGAGTGTCGGGATGCGGCGGTGAGAAGGCTGTGGCTTCAAACGAAAGTAATGTGCAATCCTAGGGCTGCGGCCCAGGGTTTTGTTGGATAGTCCCGAACCTGTAAGTGAGAGGGTGCCACCAGCGCGTCGGGAGAGCCTCCAGGGGAAAGGAGGATAGGTGTATTGCACGTCAGTGGTATGTCATAACGGTCTGCCTGCAAGTCAGCGCGCCTGTATCTACCAAGTCAGATGAGGTCCATCTGCGGTAATTCGACGGGAGGAGGTATTGGTCGTGAGTGTCGCGGTATTTTGTAGTCTGCTGCCCAGTCCTGGTTGTGGTGATGGGTCGCCTTGTCGTTTACGTAGATTGGCCCGTGTTGGTGGTCGTCGGTTTGGGCTTGGGAGTAGCCTTGTGTAGCGTTACCATATGTTTGAGCGGCGACTCCATAAATGGCATTCCAGGCGTGTGTTCGTGTATTCTGTTGAGGTAGTTCTCGAAGCGGGCCTGATACGTACGAAGCTTGGCGATATAGTCCTTGAACGTAGGGTCTCCAACCTTGTTGAGGGAGACGATGCGTCGGTTGAAGATGTGGATCTGGTGTTTTCCTCGTCGTGCTGCTTCGTGGTCCGCGGCAATTGCTATTGCTGCGATCGTCGGGAAGTAGGTGTTCACGCGCCGCCAGCGTTTGTGGAGCCAGCTTTCGCCAGGGAGTGTATTGTATCCACTGTTGGGCGTTGATGTCCTCGTTTGGTGGGTCAATAATGGGTATTTTTAGTGCGGCTGATGGTGGTTGTACCGGTATGAACTGGTTAGATGGTGACCATTTGATCATAGTGGTGAATTTGGGTGAGGTCGTCTTTGGTGATGCTCCTCCTTCCTGGATTCCCACCCCTTCCCCTCCTCCCTCCTCACGGCCTTCCTCCTCCCCCGCCCCCTGTGGCATCCATCCTCCCTCCTCCATGGCCTCCCCCGCCGATCAGTCGTAGCTTTGCCACGGGTCCCCCCCCAGGGGAGTAGCCGTGGCGAAGCTACGACTGAGAGCTGCTGGAGCCCGCCAGAGATTCTCACGGTGAGGCCGTCACTGCTGATCCGCTGGCGGCATGAAGCGGTGGGGAGGGATGTGAGCGATCCGGGTGTTGCTGGAAGTGCCCCTGGCCCGAGGTGCCCGCAGAATTTCCACTCGGGCCTCCACGCCCTCTTTGGAAGCCTTCACGTGGCCCAGAGGGCTCCAGGGGCTCCAACATTGAACGAAGAACTGGGGGCACCTTGGGCCAGGGGCACATTTAGCAACCCCCGAGTCTGGCGCCCCGAGCAAAAATTGAGGCTGATGGGCGACTTTCCAAGTTTACCAGTGCTCAGTATCGTTTAGCCGACCCCTGTCTCCATCCCCATACCTATCCAGACCCCCACCATCGCAGCATCCCAGTTGGGGATATGCCCCTCGAAACCCGATGGAAGCAGACCATATCCCCATCTAAGGTAGTAAATCGGCCAGTGGGGCCCAGGCCACGCCCATGGGGATAGGGGTCGGTTGAACGACGCTCACATGCATCCTTCCCCTCTGGCCCGTCCTTGGCCACTTTCTCTGGCCGCGCCCCGCTCGAAGAGTGTCCACCATGGCCTTCCAGGGCCCTGGCATCGTTATCGTGCATCCTTGTTGTGCGTGTTGCCTGTACCTCTCTGGCGCCCCCCGAAGAGCCGCACGCTCTCAGGGCCTCCCGCCGCACGTTTCCTCTCCAACTTTGCCTTTCTTCCCTTCGGTTTTTCAGCTCTCCTGTCTGCGCCTCAGCTTGCCTCGTTGCATCCCGCCGTTGTCCTACCGCTGCTTGAATCCAAGTGGCCGCCGATAAAGAAGAAACAAACCATACCTCTGGGGCCGTCGATGAAGCTCCCTCAGGGGCTCGAGCGGAGAGAGTCTCGCGGGTGGCGAGAGTGGCACATGATCAAAGAGACTTGGAAAGCCACCCCGTGGGAATCCGTCGTCGTGGCAGACGCCCGTTCCGCGTCTCGGCGCTTTATCCTATACCGTTTGCATTGTATCGCATTGTCTTATGCTCTATGATCTCTCATGGGCACGGAGCTCCTGTGATGGGTGCGCCGACATGGGCAGGGGAGCGCATGCAAACCCTCCCACCCCCTGGTTCCGTCGGTGGAGCTTGTTCAAGTGCACGAGACATGTAAGGAACATCGCCGACATGGACATGCGGCAGGGAGGGCGAGGAGGGGGTGAGGAGAAGGAGGAGAGGCGTGTCGCTGCTGAATCATTCAATAATATCACATTACCCCTTGAAGCCATACATGTGCCTCCGGAATCATCACAAGCTTCTGCGAGAGCTGCCGAGAATGTCCTATAAGCTTGGCTCAAGCGGTTGCATGCCCGCGCCGCCGTCCTCCGCGATAGCTTCTGCGCGGGCTAGAGAAGACCTCCCGACGTGCGACGGCGCCGCCCTCGTTGCGGCTGCCGTTTTCGCTGCCCTGGACGATCGTGCGCCTCGTGGCAGCCGCAGCTTCGGCTGCGCTGGCTGTGCCGCGCGTGCCGACGGCTGACGAGGTGGTCGACGAGGAAGCGTATGTGAGGATGCCGACGGCGACGTCGGCAGCGAAGGTGGAGCGCCGCCGGCGCTGGCGCCGCCGTGTGGCAGAAGCGCGCGCTGCGGGGCGCGCTGGTCCGCCTGCTGCTGACAGTGGTGCTGCGCGGCGTGCCAAGCGCCCCCCCGCTGCTGGAGCAGCGGGCCCACTGCGCTGGAGCGGGCCGCGGGGCTGCTGCTGGACGGGGCTTGGCGCTGGGGCGTCGGCCCGTGCCCGTGGAGGCCGCCGCGGGCGTGGAGCCGTCTTTCCTGGAGGACGACAGCTGGCCAGACGTCGCACGCCGCGGTCGGCGCCGACGTTCGCCCGTCGCCCTTGCGGATGCGTGCGTTGGCGCCGCGTTTGCGGCTGGTGCGGCCCCGCCGAAGGCGCTCCGATGGGAGGAGATGGACGTGCGGGAGCGGGCGCGGGCCGTGTTCGGGAGCATCCCGCTGGCGGCCAGTGGCGGTGTTTCCCCCTCGTGAGCCCTGCCGTGGAGGTTGGGGAGGTTCTCTGCCTCCTGGTGCCGTCGGCGCTCCACGTGGTCCTCCTCGCGGCCGGGTGGTCCATGGCTGGTCAGGTCCAGCCCTGGCCCCCCGCTGACTGCATTGTGATTCGCTATGCCGAGGTGCGAATGTCATAAAATCCTCCTCCTCCTCCTCCTCCTCCTCCTCCTGTCCTTGCTCCCCCCATGGGGGGAGTGGGGTTGGGGAGCGAGCCAGTCGAGCCATACTAGGAGGGTGGATGGAAGCAGTAAGGCAGTAAGAGAAGGATGAGGGAGAAGGGGGAGGAGGAGGAGGAATCGGAGGGGTGGAAGGGTGAAAAGGGTGGAGTGATGGTCATGATGAGCAGGTTGAAGGTGACTTCGTGAGAGGTGCGCTGCTGTCGCGCCCGATCAGCTGGCAGCCGCCGTCCAGAATCCAAAGACTCCACTGATGTCGAGCGTGCGTTGCTTGGTCGAAGTGTGACTCGTCATCAGGTGGCTTGTTTGACCAGGAGAAGGAGGAGGAGGAGGAGGAGGAGGAGGAGGAGGATGAGGAGCGGAGAAATGAGCAGAGAGAGAGAGAGAGAGAAAGAGGGAACACACACACACACAAACACAGGGAGCGAGAGGAAGAGGAGGCGGAGGGGCGCTAGGATTCAGATACGTAAGTCGGGCAACTGGGAAATCGGAGGAAGAGGAGGACGACAAAGCACGTGGGCGTGTATGCGAGTCAGTGCATGTTGCCTTTTACAGGTAGCTGCTCTGCTACGCCCTGCGCCCTTCCAATTGCAAGACTGTGTGTGTGTGTATGCAGACTGGGCTCCTCCCGCATGCCAGGCACATAGACACAGTACATATCTGGATCAGGCTTCCCCATTGGAACTTCTAGGCACTGCTCATGCAAGACACTGTCGCTCTGTGAGCCTCGCTACGACATCTCTGGATCTGGGGTGTAGCATCAAGTGTGACATCAGGCTTCCTGCCTGTAGCCGGGGGCTTGCGCACGCCCATCCTGTCAAGGATCTACACCTGTAAGCTGGACAGCTGGTCGTTTGTTATTGTGGCCGAGAGCCAGCGAGCCTTGTGGAACCTGGCTCAGCTTCCGTCAGCCATTCCCCGGGCGGCTGGGGTTCTGAGCATGGACGAGCTGGGACATTCCAGTCATAGTCATAGGTTCCAGCACACGTGACACGGTCGGGAACTTTGGCTTGACACGCCAACCACACCCCAGTCCCTAGGCGTCGGCGTCCCGAGTTTCTCCCAGCCCCTGCCCCGCGTAGCGGAGCACCACGCCATCGACTTGGAAGGCATAGCGTGTCGCGGAGGCCGCCGCCGCGACACGCCAAGCAAACGTGTCCGACCGTAGTATCTCCCGGGTATCTTGCCGCCCGTCTCTCGATCCGCTCGGCCTCTCCTCCCGCGGCCGGCTGCTCCTGGCAGCCGATTGGCTCTTGCACCGCCGATGTGCTGTTGGTGAGAGCCTGCCGCAGTCACGGCACGTTTTGTCTTCGACAGGCTCTCAGTTTGCGGCAGAGGGCGAAGAGAATGGAGAGAAGATGTCGCAGAGCAGGAAGTAAGACAAACACGACGCATATGAGCCAGCTTGCGCAGAGGAGAAGGAAGGATTACGATTCGCGGACAGTCGCTGGTATCGGGGAAACGATGATCCAAACGCCGCTGTGACGATACGACGATAGTGCCGAGCAGGGTGGCGACGACGTTAAGATTGGGGCTTGAGGAGGTGGAAGAGGAGGAAGCGGAGGAACAGTGGAAGGGACCCCCAAGTTCCAATCCCAACTCCAAGTTTTCCGAGGACTAGGTTGGGAATTCGGTCCCGATCCCCTTTGTTATGCTATGGCGGCAACGACGAGTAGTGCGAGGACGGGGAGGGGAGGATGGAGGATGAGGATGAGAAGTGGAAGGAGGAGGAGCGGCGGCAGAGCAGCAGCAGCGGGGGCGGCGGCGGCAGCAGCAGCAGCAGCAGCAGCATCAGCCGCAGCAGCAGCACCAGCAGCAGCAAGCAGCAACAGCAGCAGCAGCAGCATCAGCAGTGGCCAGGAGCCGCTGCAAAGGCAGCCAGGGTAGGGGAGAGGGAGCGGGAGCCGCAGCAGGAGGCCCCGCGGCTCGCGATGATGCCTCCTCCACCTCCAGAGAGCCGTGAGGAGTGGCAGTTCCCAGAGCCTCCTTTGGAAACTTACCCCCCACAGCCCCCCTTGAGGGCGGGGGGGGGGCGTCCCCCCCCCCAGCACCCCCACAATCAGAGGTGCGTTTTGGGGGTGGGGTGGGACGGTTTTCTCTCCGGAGCCCTCCCAGAAACCTCCTGGACCCCCTCTGGAACCCTCCCAGAACCCTGCGTCAAGAGGTCCCGCAGTTTGCGATGATGCTTCCTCCACCTCCAGAGAGGGGGGGCACGAGGATGCTCACGTTCATGATTGCTACGACGATGGTGATGATGATAAGCTGGATGAGCTGGAGCAGGACGCCGTCCCGCTTCAAAAGCATCGGGCCGTCCGACGGCCTCCCAAGATCCTCGGCGAAACACGGGGGTGGCGGAACGCACGCTCGCCTCCGCGCAAGCAGTAGAGGATGAAGATTCAATTGCCGAACCGATGCCTGGGAGCATTCCGCGCTTTACTTTGGAAGGTCCACCATGTCATCCCCGGAGGAAGTCCGCACTGCCAATCTGCCGCCAGGCGCGTCTGCACCTGCAGCAAGAAGCTGCGGGCGTGCTGCTCCGACGCGCCAGTGGCCCAGCCTGGGCGGACACGGGGGCCGAGGAGCAGACTCGATTCTGGCAGCTCGCTGTCAGAGTTGGGGGGATGTGGCGAGCGAGGCGTTTGCTCTACACCTCCGGCTCCTCTCCCATGCGGAGCCCAACGGCGTGCGCGATGCAGCAGGCACAGCAGTTGGGCGCCCCACTCTTTCGCCTGCAGCTCCTTCTCCTTTTTCCCCGCCTCCCGCTTCCTTCCCTTGTCCTTGTCTTTGTTTTTGTCTTTGTCTTTGTCGTCGTCGTCGTCTCCCTCCTTCTGCTCGTGCTCCTCCTTCTCTCCTCCTCCTCCTCCTCCTCCTCTTCCTCCTCCTCTTCTTCCTCCTCCTCTTCCTCCTCCTCCTCTGGGCCTCTCGAGGCCCAGCCCTCGAGCCCGCGGACCCCTCCCGGCCTGGCTCTTGCCGGCTCGGTCCCGGCTGCCTGTGAGCAGATGCCGCTGGACGCGTCCGCCTCCAGAGCGTGCACTCAGCTTGGCACGCTGGATCGTTTCGCGCCGGGTGGGCCTCTCGAACTCCAGGCCTCCCAGATGGTCTCGGAGCAAGTGAGGTCGGAGGATCGCTCCGCATCGGCGATGCATCGGCGATGCGGCTCGATGCGGGTTCCGACTTTCTCCACGCCGATGCATCACCAATGCATCGCCGCAGCATCGTCGATACATGGGCGATGCAGCGCGAATCTCCGACCCCGTCTGCTCGGACTTCATATAGGAGGCCTCTACGGAGGATGTTCGGGGCCTCCCCTCGGCGAGAGGCCGTCTCTCTTCTGGAGGTGGGCCGGGCTCTCCGAGCTCTCGGGTGTCCGCCTCACTGCGCACCCTGGCCAAATTTCTGGGGCCTCTGGTAGCGTGCATCCCACAATCACCTAAACACCAGAGCAGCCGTGTTTCCAGACAGTGCACGTGGTGGGATGAGTGAAAGCGCGACGCCATGCCGCTGCGAAGCGATCTCCTTCCGCCGCTCTTCCCTGAGCGTCAGGGTCCGCAAGGGGGTGGTGGGAGGGCGAACGGGGGCGATGAGCTCTCTCACTTCGCTTCGCGGCCAAACTTGCTGGCAAGGCGTGCGCCACGAGTTCGAGGGCCCGCACGGCTCGCGGAGGTGGCTGGACCGTGGGAGGATTGTCTCAAGCCCAGTGGCCTTCGAAGCCAGGCGAGGGGCGTCTCTCGTGCCTCTCGCCCTCTCCGCAGTCTCCGACGCCGCCGCCAGGCCCCTTGGCGCCCTGCGGCACATGAATGACGCCGTAGTGCCTACAAAGTCGGTGCCTGGAGCCCGTCCCACCACCCCCCGCACTCCAGGCCAACTCAGCTGCCTCCCCCGCCCGGACATCCGCACACCCGATAGGTTCGCTCCGTGTCGACTGGCCTCGACCCCCGCCGCAGGCGTTCAGCGTTGAACGCCGGCGGCGGCCCAGAATCGGTTAATGTTGGAACGATCGGACGTTTCGGAAGCGGCCGATCGTTCAAGGTGGAACGCCAGGGTCGTCACGACACGAACCTGCCGCAAATACGTAGCACCCCGCAAATTCGGATAAGAGTGAGGGGGCTGTGGGGACGTCGGCAGTTTGCGAGACTCTGGAGAAGCTCGCCGCAGGACAAATTATACAACGAGCCCGCCGCAGGCGCCGATTTTTTCGTTAAGCCAATGTGGATAGGGCGGGTGGGTCGCGGGTGGGTCGCGGGGTGGGTCGCGGGTGTGTCGCGGGGTGTGTCGCGGGGTGGGTCGCGGGTGGTTCGCGGGTGGGTCGCGGGTGGGTCGCTGTTGGGCCGCGGGTGGGTCGCGGGTGGGTCGCGGGTGTAGACGGCAGAAAATCCACCCCGTAATAGTCACCCCGGCAAGCGAAACCGTTTAGTACACGCACACAAGGAATGAATCGAACAGGGCAGGGCTGTTTAGTCAACGCCCAGGGCCGTTTTAGTAAATGTCAACTGTCGGGTCCGGGGTTGTTTTTCCTCCCTTGAGGATGGGTCGCGGGGTGGGTCGCGGGCGGGTCGCGGGGTGATTCGCGGGTGGGCCGCGGATGGGCTGCGGATGGGTCAAGGGGTGGGTCGAGGGGTGGGTCGAGGAGTGGGTCGCGGAGTGGGTCGCGGAGTGGGTCGCGGAGTGGGTCGCGGGTGGGTCGCGGGTGGGTCGCGGGGAGGGACGACGACAACAAACAACACGGCCAACAACAACAACAACAACAACAACAATCAACAATCAACAATCAACAAACAACAACAACAACAACAACAACAACAACAACAACAACAACAACAACAACAACAACAACAACAACAACACCAACAACAACAACACCACCAGCACCAACACCAACACCAACACCAACAACAACAACAACAGCAGCAGCAACAACAACAGCAACAACAACAAGCACATCAACAACATCAACAACACGACAACGACGACGACAACAACATCAACGCAACAAACAGAATTCTCACCACGAATTCTTTATTCAGCCACGCACCCAGGGATAATGAATGACCGTTCGGCCCCCTCACTCTGATAAGCTTTCGGAGCTCCGCACGGATCTCTTGGATCTGCACCGGGGTGGATCTGCGCCGAGGCGCCGCTGAGGCCCCCCAGGGCGCCTCGGGAGCCGCCTCTGGCGCGCTCCGCACGCCCGTCGAGCCAAGAAGTCCGCGCGGACCTCGGAATGTTTCTGCTAATTATGATGACTGCCTGTTCTTCCAGTGGAGGCGCTCGAGGGCCCCCGCGAGCTTCCCTGAGTCTCGGGCCGACCTGCTGGTGGCCCGGCGGAGGGCCGTGGCCCTCGGAGGCTTCCCGGGCTCTGGGGCCGATCGGAGCTGGAGCTGGCCGCCGCGCCGCCACGGCGGGGTCGCCCAGCCGCGCGAGCGCCCCGACCAGCCGCGCGCGGGCCGCGTCCGCGTCGGTGGTGGAGCGCGGCTCCGGTCGGCCACGGCGCGGCCCCGCCCTGCCACCCGCTGCCTCCGCCACCGTCTCCCCGCACGTTGCCGCCTGTCGGGGCGATGGCGTCGCACTTTGGCAGCGGCGCCCATCCGCCTGGAGTTTCCAATCGAAGGACCAGTTGCTGCACTGGCCGCAGCGGGACAGGGTGCCCTGCCGCTCCCTGCCCGCCCACCCCCCTGCACTGTGCCGATGGTATGTAGCCAGCGAGTTGGAAAGAATCTCCTACTCTGCCCTCAGAGCATCGGTCTCCATCCGTTGGCGCGGCTGACTGAAACACTTGGGTCTAAACGTCAAAGTGGCTACTGATGAGGATGAGGGTGAGGATGAGGATGAGAAGGAGAGGGGCGCAGAACGGAGAGTACCTCGGGGGCCCGCCCCAGGCTCTTGCGGATGTTCGCTGCTGGAGGGTGCCGCACTGTCCTGCTCAGGAGCAACGGCACGGCTGTGGCGCGCGGCTGGAATAAGGATGGTCAGTGCAACCTCCCGGCGCTGGTCGCCGGCCTGACCTACACGCAGGTGGCCGCTGGGGGGTACCACACGGTCCTGCTCAGAAGCGACGGCACGGCCGTGGCTTGCGGCCGTAATGATGACGGTCAGTGCGACCTTCCAGCGCTTGTCGCGGGCCTGACCTACACGCAGGTGGCCACCGGAGGGTACCACACAGTCCTGCTCAGAAGCGACGGCACAGCTGTGGCTTGCGGCCGCGGTGATGATGGTCAGCGCGACCTCCCGGCGTTGGTCGCGGGCTTGACCTACGCGCAGGTGTCGGCTGGAGATTGCCATACTGTCCTGCTGAGGAGCGACGGCACGGCCGTGGCCTGTGGATACAATGGTGATGGTCAGTGCGACTTTCCAGCGCTGGTCGCGGGCCTGACCTACACGCAGGTTGCCAGTGGGGATTGCCATACAGTCCTGCTCAGAAGCGACGGCTCGGCCGTGGCCTGCGGATACAATGATGATGGTCAGTGCGACCTCCCAGCGCTGGTTGCGGGCCTATCTTACACGCAGGTGGCCGCTGGTGGGGGCCACACAGTGCTGCTGAGAAGCGACGGTACCACCGCGGCTTGCGGCGGCAATGACGATGGTCAGTGTGACTTCCCAGCGCTGGTCGCGGGCTTCACCTACACGCAGGTGGCCGCTGGAGATTGCCATACGGTCCTGCTGACAAGCGACGGCAAGGCCGTGGCCTGCGGGTGCAACAACGTTGGTCAGTGCGACCTGCCAGAGCTGACCGCGGGCCTGACATACTCAGCTCACCTATTTCCAGCACTGCTCCTGCAGGCGTCGCTCGACGGTGATTCGATGCGTTTCGTGACCCTTAGTGGAGTAGAGCGCTGCAGAACCGTGGTGGGCTCTACCGCTCGCCTCGCAGACATCTACGACCAGCTGATGGCCGACCGTCGTGCGGGCAGGCTGGGACCCGGGATCCAGCGAGTCGACGCGATCTTGCCTCGGGGCCGTTTGCTCAGCGACGCCTCTGCCGAGGAGACGGTCGCCAGCGTCTTCGGGCTTGCCTGGCCAGTTTGAGCCGTTTCAAAGTCCTCGACGGTATTCCTGAAAGTCGTGCAAGAGACGAGGAATAAAGGAAAAGTCCGACGAGATGGGAAGACTGGAGGTGATGTTCGCGACGACGGAGGCCTAGAAGCAAGAGGGCAACGGTCTGGTGAACGTGTTCTTCAAGGTATTACTCCTTTCTCTGTTACTGCGCATTTCCTTTTCTGCCGAGGCAAGGGGGGTGGCTAGCGCTTTGAACATGAACTATGACAGGCCATCCATCCGCCGCGAGACCTTGGACTCCATACCCAAATTTGATGGAAGACGCTCACGTCGAATCTTCGCCGCCTCTTACCTTGTGGGCACGCCTGTAATGTAGCATGTAGAGCGAATGTGTTCCCCCAGCTGTTCCCCCCACGATAGCTGTTGGGAAGACAGTTGGGGAACACTGGGGTGGGACCCTCTGAGGCCGTCTCGATGCTGTCTTGGGGCTTCTTTTGGCCTTTGAGGCGTTCTTTGGGGCCTCCAGGGGCCCTCGTGGGTCATCTTGGGGCTCTCTTGGGCCCTCATGGGGCGCTCTTAGACCGTCTAGCGCCTGCGGAAGCAGTCTTGGAGCTCTCTTGCGCCATCTTGTGGCCCCCTTGGGATGTCTTAGGGCCGTCTTGCAGTCTTCTTGGGGCCATTGGTGCTTATTCGTGCCGTCTTGGGCCAGTCTTGGAGGCCTTGTGGGCCGTTTCTGGACGCTCTTAGGACCAGAAGCATGGAAATCAACAGAACATTGAAGACAGGTTTTACAACTAATGTTGGCGTCTTGGTATGATCCCATGGGCCCCGAAGATGACCCAAGAGACCCCCCAGAGAGCCTCCCAGACCCTCTTGGTGCCTTCCTGGGGCCATCTTGAGCCGTCAGGGGCCATCGCAGGCTGGTGTGGAGGCCATGTAAGGCGATAGTAGCGGTATTGGTTGCATATTGTTACCGGGCGTCATGTTGCTTTTTGGACGTGATGTGGGGTTTCGGGCCAATGACCACAGTGAAACTTTGGGAGGGCCAATACGAGTTTCGAAAACTCGGCTCCCGAAGCGTTGGGCCACAACCACACCCTTGCCCTTTTGGAAAACACCTACGCGTGTTGCCAAGCGTTGGGTTAAAGTTCGGTTAAGGAGCAGGAGCAGGAGCAGGAGGACCAGTGTAAACCCAAAACTCATCAACGATGTTGGAGTACCCGCTCCCTCCAAGCTCCCTCTTCATAGGCCACTGCAGGAATTCATTGCCACTGAGGGAAGTGCCCAGTTGGGAGACAACCATGGGAAAGTCCTGAAGCGTGCTAAAGAATTGTACTCAGGATTTCAATGCCACGGGTCAACCTGACTGTTGCGTCTTGACGATCCTGGATCGTGCCAGAACACCATTCCTGGAATCTCAACACCGCGAATCAACTTTTTTGTTGCGCCCTGACAATCCTGAATCGTTCCATCACACCGCTGCTGGAAGTTTAACCATGCTAGTCAGTGAAACTCTTGCAGCTGTTTGAAACGAATGCGCGCGGCGCCAAGGCGAGAGTCACACTTTGAAGAAAAGGAGCCGCCCTCAATCCGTGAAGCTCGTGCAAATGTTTACAATGCATGTGCGCGGCGCTTAGGCGAGACGAATGTTCGCGGCGCTAAGGCGTGAGCCACATTTTGAAAACCACCTGTCCTCATTCAGTGAAGCTCTTACGAATGTTTAAGACGAGTGTGGGTGGTGCTAAGTCGAGTCGGCGAGAGCCACAGTTTGGAAGCGACCCGCCCTCCACCTGTGAACCTGTTGTCATTTTCTAAGCTTCAGGCTTATACATGATGAGGCAGTCTCCGGCGAAACGCCCCGCCCGCCCATCCAAGTGGCTTCGGGGTGCCACAGGGAGGAGTTAACCAGAAAGAGAAGGAATGGAGGAGGAGGAGGAGGAGAAGGAGGAGAAGGAAGGCTCTTGAGGGCCTCCTTGGGCCCTCAAGAGGCATCCTCTCCTGGCAGCCTCTGGGGGCCTCTGGGGGCCTCTTGGAGGCATCTAGTGCGGTCTTCGGGCGCTCTTGGCCCATCTGACGCTTTCGGATGCCGTCTTGGGGGCCTCTCTGGGCCGAATTGGGGCTCTTTTAGGGCGCTTTCGGGCTCCTTGGGGCCGACTTGGAGGTCTCTTGTGCCGTCTTTCGCTTTTGGGCCACACTTTGCCAGAGTTGGCGCCCTTCTGGTGGCCTCGTGGGCCATCTTGAGGCGATCGTAGAGGCCAATTTCCCTGATGTATTGGGGGCCTCTTGGGCCGACTGGCACATTCTTATAATGCCGAAGAGCCGAGAATGTTTATATCTTGCGCAAGCTCAAGGTTTTTCAATCATTTGGGCCTCTTGGGCCAGCCTTGAGGGCCATCATGGCAGCCCAAGAGGCGCCCATTAGTGCTCTAGGACGGGCCCTTGAGATATTTGTAGAACACGGTGCAAGCTTGGGGCCGAAAGATCGCTGCCAGGAGCTCGAATCCACTTGAGGACACTCCAATTCGTGCCTAGCGGCGCAGTTGCGCATTTCCCCAACGCTTTTGTTATGCATATTTGGTTATTTAGGGCTCCTCGTGAAGTGTTGTTGATTTCGATACGAGTGCAACAATGAACACGCAGCTCACACATTCTGGCTCATCTGAGAAAGTTGCAAGTCGGCTGGTTCCTTGTTTTTATCCGGATGCGCACACCGCGCTTCAGCTATCGATCCCATGTTCAGTGCACCGTTCCACAGGTCATCGTGTCGTCCGCCAAGACAGACTTCACCGAGAGGACTGCGCCGCTCATCTCTGCTTGCGCTCGGGACCCCTTCCCACCCGCCCACCAGGGGCACCCGCCTGACGTTGCACCCAGTCGATGCTCGCGCGGATTGCCGCCTACTCAGCCTCGATACTTACAGCCTGCCAGGCCAAGTGCTGCGCCCACGCCGTGCAGGGTGTGCGAAGACAGCGGCGTCGGAGAAGCAGCCGAGCGGGAGCTGACGCGACGCGTCGTGAGTTGACCACTCGCCCCCACACCTATGCGACCCCCAGATTTATCGGGGTGGAATTCCTGGGGGGGCGCCTATGGGTGTGTGTTGTCGGACGGGGGCCCCCGCTCGAACGGGAGCTCCCCTCGGGGCCCGACAACTCGCACCTGTACCCATCGCGCCTTCAGCTCGTTGCCCTTCCCCACTTCTCTTCCCTCTAGATTTGGGCGTGTGCCGTTCGTTCATCAGCACGCGCGCTGGCGGGAATCTCGCCCAAGTCTCACCGTCTCCGGGGCGCGCTCGAGCGGGCGCTCCTGGGGGCGGAGCGCCCCCGCTTTGGTCACGCCCCTCTGGTCCGCCCGAGGAGCCCGGCTCGCTCGTGTGCACCGTTTTGGCGCCTCTGGGCGCCGCCGGCGTCAAGAGTGTATTCCCGCGCGCATGTTCTCGGCGCCACCCCGACATACTAGTACCATGTGTGCGTCGCCCCCTGAAGGGGCGACGCGCGCGCCGAGAAATCTTGGAGTATGAGCTCTGTGTGTGGGTGCTTTCTGGCCATGCCGCGCGGGACACGATATACTGCAAGATGTTTGTACTATATGTTCGGCCTCCGACGCGCGCCTCCGTGGAGGACACATCGTATTAGTATGCCCTTATGCGTCCCATGTGCGGCAGAGGGCCTTGCCGTCGAGGATCGATGAAGTTGTCATCTCTTCCTCGGTGGAAGGCCGGCGGAAGCCAGCGGAGGATGCACGGCGGCGGCGGGTCCGCCAGCGGAAGCCCGTGTGAAGCAAGAGATGCGCTCCAAGGGATGGCGGCAGACCCCAAGAAGCACGCATGAGGACTCTGACCCACAGCCCAGGCACGGTAGCGGGATGGGCCGAAGGCCATGTGATAGTTGCCATGCGCGCCGCGTCACGACTTCCGATGCTACGCGCCACTTCGACACACTCCCAGGGAGCGGCCGTTGATGCGCTGCCGGCGTCCTCGATGCGCCCCAAGAGATGGCGGCGGCATTTTTGGGTGCAGGGTTCCCAGAACCCGCTATACGGAGAAGTGGAAAGGGGAAGACCAAAGCCGCGAGGACGTGTAGTGCGATCCTGGTTCGAATTTCTGTGCAAGGCTGAGTAAGGCTCATCCAGGCTGGTGGTGAGGGGGAGGATTCGGATATGAATCGTTGTTGTTTGACTTTGTTGATTACGCGTCGGTTGAAGAGGCGTAGTAACAGTTATGCCAGTGGGGTCGATTTGGGGAGACCGGGTGATCATGGCACACAGTGGGTCCCGACCAGCCGTGTCTATTCTGGGGCTCGCCCTCCCAGAGGCTCTAAGATGACCCAATCTATCGCAAGAGCAGCCGAGGAGGGCCCAAGACGCATCCAGACGGCTCCTGTTCGCTCGCAGTTGTCGGACATGCCCCGCGCCCGTTCGTCGGCTTCGGCAGGCGCTTCGGCACACCACGGGCCCATCACCATACGTCTGCACCAGGCGTCAAACAGAGCAGGCCGAGCGCAGACACTCGACTCGTACCCCTCGCACGCCATGAGTCCGCGGACGACATGTGTGCACTGTGCCGCGGCGTCGTCGATCTTCGACCCAATAAGCTTACGGTGCATAGTCTTTGCGGCCCTCAGAGCCGAAAAAATCTGGACAGTACCGCGTGCCTGAATGGGGTCCAGACGTGGTGCGGTGCATGCGCGCCGTTGTCGCAATGAGGCTGGCTCTGGCGATGGCTGGCGCCATGCGGCTCCACGGAGGCTCCCGCCAGTGCAGCGGTTTCGGCTCGAGGGCCGCGTCGGACGTGCGGGCTTGGCCGCGCTCCCTGCTGCTGCATCTTCTCTTCTTGTCGGCTGCACGTGAAAGTGGCCATTGGCCGGAGAGACCCTCGGTGCGCAGCTGCTGGGGGGCACGGGCCGGATAGGGCCAGGACAGGGGTAAATCGTTCCAGAGCGTTCCGGAATGCAGAGCATTCTGGAGCGTTTTGAAACATTCATCAGACGCGCCGCATGTCAGATGTTCCCTATTTCTCCCGGTCCGATTTCGTCCCTGTCCTGGCCTCGTCTTAGTTTGGGGGGGGCAAAGCCAAGCACGCAGGCCGTTGCTGTCACATCGCACGCAACGATCGGCAGGCTGCGCACCAAAAGACACTCTCGCCTGGGTCCATCCTTGCGCGTAGCCGACTCTTTGGAGTTGGGGCGGGGTGGGCGGCCTTCAGACAGGGCAGGGGGGGAGGATTCTTGAAAGCCCTCCTGCCTCCCAGGGAGCCTTCTTAGAAGCGTTCAGGGCCTTCTTGAGAGACACTCTGCTGCATCAGCTCCGTCACCCAATCCTCCCTGTGCACGCCGCCAGTCGTCCCCGAGCCCCCAGCGTCATTCAGACGTCGGGGTGGCCAGCTCTTCCGAGTTTCTGGGCCTCTGGAGGCCCGCCAGGACCCACGGCGCGACATCCACACGACATATAGCGTCGAGGGCCCCATGGCCCCACCTACTGGAAGAGCGGACTGAGGCGTCGGAGGTTTGGATTCCTCTTCCCTCGTCCTGCCTCTCGCCTCAAGCACTTCCCTCGTCGTTGTCCTCCTGCTTACCACGCTCCACTATTGCGTCTGCCTGCTTCCTCCCTCCTCCTCCTCCTCCTCCTCCTCCTCCTTTTCCTTCTTGCTCCCTCTCCTCTTCTCCTCCTCCTTCTCATCCTTCTCCTCCTTCTCCTCCTCCTCCTCCTCCTCCTCCTCCTCCTCCCTCTCCTTTCAACCCCAGGCTCCTACCTCCCCCCTACCCCTTCCTCCTTTCCCCTCCTCCTATTCCTCCTCCTTTCCTGGTCTCCTCCCTCCTCTTTACCCTCTGCCTCTTCCTTCCAACTCCTCTCATGCTCCATCCTCCTCCTCCTCCTCCTCCTCCTCCTCCTCTTCCTCCTCTTTTCCCTCCTCCTGCCCCTCTTGCCACTCAAATAGGAGGGGTCGCCGATGTTTGGCCCGAGCGTCGACGCAGAACTGCTTATTGTATGAAGAGGACAAGCCCCGCAACTACATGTTATTGCCGCCATGCTTTCCCGCGTAACGCTTCACCCCCCCGCAATTCTTGTTGGCAGCGGAGCTGGGAGCGATCCCAGCTCGCGATCCACGGAACGTGCGAAGAACGCGGTGCGGACGCACATTCGCCTGTACCTTCGCGTTCGCACTGGTACCACCCTCCTTTCTTTGAGTAGGTAGTGCTTATGGCCGTTTTGCAGGCCAAACGGCAGTTCGCTTCGGACACCCGGTCCGACCGCGGGGGCAACAGCAGAAGGCGTAACCGCAATGAGGAGCGACTCGCCCACAGGAGCGCCACGACGTTTCTCGACCCATCGCAACCGCACAGACGCTGGCCGCGCACTTTCGCGTCGGGCATGACTGCGAGGCACCGTTTTCGGCTAGTGCCGTGCCTCGGTACGTGTGCGATAGTGCCTTCTGTCCTCGTGAGCACATCGCAGCACCCGAGTGGAACACTGCAGGTCCATGTGCCAGTTTCACCGACTACGGCTTCGACCAGGTATGACAACGGCACGATCATGGCCGCCTTGGACTTCGACATGGCGTTCGTCCCTGCGCAGGCCCGAGTCCCAAGGCGCCTACGCAGCCATCATCTTGGTGAGGTCTTACCGATGAGGATATCCATCTTGACGCTCTGGGGCAGCATCCGCGTTTTCTTCGTGGCCGTCCTGTTCAGGCTCACTGGCATGATGATGCCCGGTGGAGCTGGCCCACTGGGCGGCGGTGGCCGTGGTGCCATAACATCCCGCCGGCCGCCCTCATGGTCACCCAGGCGCGAGTCCGTGTATCCCTTCAGCTACTGGGTACAGGGATTGCTCGTTCGTGGCGTGCTGGCCACAGACATGGACAGCGCTCAACAACGCGCCGCCGTCATTCTCAGTCTTGGTGGGGCCGCTCGCGAGCTCACGTGCTCCATGAGCTTCAATGAGACGACGGAGGGAGCCATGGTCAACGGCCAGCAAGAGGACGCCGTGACCTACCTCATCGCGAACCTCGCCACACAGTTCGGCCCACTAGGCGAGGAGTCGCGCCTCCAGGTGACCTGCGAACTTTTCGAGTTCTCGAGGCGATGCAACGAAACCACCGACGCGCTGCTCTCGCAGTTTCTCACGCGGCGACTCCGAGCTACGCACAACGTTGGAGCTGCGCTGTCGTGGGAAGGCTAGCCAACTCATGACGCTGCTCCAGCCATGCGGCAACCGATACCCAGCCACAGAGGCCGAGTTCAACAGTCTCACGATTATGGTCAGGCGCGCGTGTCACACCGTGGAGCACGCACCAACAAACATCGCCAGCGCCTTCCGCGCGCCACCATCGTTCAGAGAATTCGTGGGCATGGCCAATAACAGCAGCAACGATGCACATGGCCCCTGGCGCACTCAAGGTCTCGATCCCTGGGCTGCCAGCGCCTCCGAGCTTCTTGGAACAGGAGGTGCCCTGACGCGCGATGCCCGCCCATCGCAGAGCGCCGCGCCGCCGCGGGCAGCGCGCCCCGCCGCCGCGCGGGCGCCCGCGCGCGGGGCCGACGGACCGACTTCGACAGCGGAACCTCCTCTGACACAAGCTCGGACGCAGGCGGAGAGCTCAACTATGAAGCACCCGAGCTCTGAGGTCTTAGCCCTGCCCAGAGAGATGCCCTGCCCACGCAGGTAAAGGACAGCGGCGTAGACGCAGTCAACGCCCCACTCGTAAGGTACGTAGATTCACCCCGAAGAACAACAGCACCTTCCCCAGAAGAAAAGGCAAAGGCAGAGGCGAAGGCAAGGCTTCCCAGCAGTACGCA